GTGGCCAGAAAAGAGAAAGGAAAAAAAAAAAAAAAAAAGAATAAAGAAACTTCTCCAGAGACCATAAGGCTGGTCTAGGACCTTTCTCCTCCAGGCAGCCTGGGAGGAGTTGCCTATATCTTTTTGCTTCATGGATCTCACACCCAGTCCTGCCCACACCCACACCCACCCCTAGGTCTGAACGCCTGAAAGCTATTGTTCTCCAGGGTCTCAGAACACAAAGGGAGTTGCTAAAGTTTTGGATTGAGGTCCCTCTGGGATTTCAGTGCAGGGAAGGGTACTTACTTCCAAGTGGTGCCCAAGCCATTATAAGCCCATTGTTCTTAGGCTGGGGCTGAGATGAAAAGGGAAAGCCACTGATTCTAGTCTGAAAAGGAAATGTAAGTCCTCACAGGCCACATGTCAGAAGCTGCCAGAAGACCGTTCCCGTTAGTAAACAGGGCCGCCTGGGCCATCTTTCTCTTCTTTAATAACCTGTGGGGCACCTATTGATTGCACATGCTGGTCCCTCATAAATTAGAGCAGGGATGCCTTCCAGTCGCTCTGAGCTGCGTGAATGGTGATATCGGCTCCCTAATACTTCATGCTCGTGGAGCCCCGTGTATCATGCCACATAAACATGAAGAATATGTATCATCAGGCGCCGAGAACGCACGGGAACCAGCTCCGGTGGCTGCGGAGGCTTCTGGGCATGCTGCAGACTTTAATTAGGCAGTTTCTTTCCACTGGTACAGGAGATGACAGAGCACGGATTGCGCGCCTCCTGCTGCAGCCTGCTCCGCTCTCCAATCGGAGGGGCCGCAAGCCCTAGGGAGGAGACAAACCTCTCAGTAGGGTGGAAGCCAGCAATGGGAGGGCATAGTCAACCCAGTCATGGTAGCCTGAGTTGGCTGGCTGAGGTCACGAGGGAGTTGGATTGGACTCCTGGCCCATCCTGGCCCATCCTAAAAACCAGGCATGGTGGTGCGCACCTGTAGTCCCTGCTACTGGAGGCTGAGATAGGGGAGAAGACATAGCAACACTTTGCCTGCCCCCGACTCCAAAAAAAAAAAAAAAAAAAAAGGAATGTTAATCTGTCATGCTATGGAAAAAACACTGAGTTAGAAATCGAAGGACATGTTCAAAACTCCTGCTTCAAACACCTACAGCTATGGGATCTTAAGACTTTCATTTAGAAAGTGGAGAAAACAATGGTACCAGTTGGTTGTGAGGTGTGAGAAAAATAAGGCCCACCAGCAAGCTCTCAGCAAATACCAAAACTGAGCGTATGAGAGTTAAAGAAACTGGCAACAGGTATAGGACTGAAAGGATTTCATCCTCTAGCCTCCCAAACCTGGCATGCAGAACTTCCCACAGCTACCCCCACCAGCACTTTGCTTTTTGAGGAAGAAGTGAGGTGGTGAAACTTACTGCTTGGTAAACTGAAAATGTTGCTCTTAACCCTTCCATCTTCTTGTGTCCCCCACCACCACCACCACCAAGTTGGCTTCTGCGTTTAAAATTCACTTCACAGCGAACCCCTCTAAAGTGCATAATAACACAGGAGAACAAGCCAGCATAGTGCCAAAAGAACCGTGGTACCACAGGCCTGCACTTGGCAGAACTGTTAGCATTTCTAACTTATCAGGCCCTGGACAACAAGGTCTGCTCACTGTCTCTGCGACCCACTGCATCTCCTTTGCTGCCATTGCTGATCAGCCTGGAGGAGAAGGACAGTGGGTATAGCCATACTTTCCTCCCCTTTACCCTGATCCTGGAAATGATGTCTGCTGCTCTGGGCTGCAGGGTATAGTGTGTTGATGGTGGTTCCCTAAATGATATAGTCATGTCCCAGAGCCCATGAATGCGGACTTACTTGGGAAAAGAGTGTTTACAGATGTAATTAAATGAAGGCTTTTGAGATGAAATCATTGTGGATTACCTAGGTGGGCCCTAAATACAAAGACAAGCATTCTTTTTTATTTTAATTTAATTTTATTTAATTTTCTCAGTTTTGCTATAGGGCACATGTGCTTGCCAGAGAGGGAAAGTGAGAAATCATCCCCCAGTGGAGATGGCCACACCACAGTCCTTTCTCCTCCATTCTCCTTTTGGGACTTTGGGTATGCATGCAGACATGTCTGGCACATTTTTCGAGCCGCTAGATCTGGGACTCAAACTGCACAGTTGGCTATGTGGGATCCAGCTGCCCTAACCACATGCCACCAGCTGTCCCAGGACAAATATTCTTCTAAGAGATCAGAGGAGAGAAGACCTAAAAGACACACAGAAGTTTATGTGAAGATGGAGGCAGAGACTGGAGTGATGCAGTCATATGCCAAGGGGTATCTGGGTCACTAGAAGCTAGAAAGAGACGAGAAAAGACTGTTCCCAGGACCAGCACTTGGCGTAATGGCTATGTTGCTGGGCTCCCGTGTAGTTGATTGTGGTTTGAGTCCTGGACCTGGTGGCTTAAAACTCACGCCGGGTGTGTGTGTGTGTGCGTTCCCAAGATCCCAAGAGGAGAATGGAGGAGAAGGGAGTGCGTTGTAGCCATCCCCCCTGGGGGTGATTTCTCACTCTGTCTCTCTGTCTCTCTCTGTCTGGCGAGCTCACATGCCCTATGGCAAAAACCTCTCCAAAAAAAAAAAAAAAAATCCAAAGCTCTGGCCTGCAGGTGGCATGGTGGTGAAGGTGCTGGATCCCACATGGCCGACTCCACTGTTAAGTCCCAGATCCAGTGTCTTGGAAAACACACTGAGTGTGTATGTGGGAATGGCCAAATTACTGAGAAGAGAATGGAGGGGAAGGGATTGCAGCATGGCCATCCCTCCTGGGGGGTAATTTCTCACTTTCCTATTCTCTCTGTCTCTTTCTGGGTGATTGCGAGCACCTTATGGCAAATATCTAAAACAAACCCCAAAACGCAAAGCTCAAGGCTCTAAATCTGATAGGACAGGTCAAGCCCTCCTTCCCCAGCCCTCTCTACCATGATACTAGTTTAGCTCTCCCCTGGGGCATCCTTAGCGGGTGCTCCTATTGGGCCTACTCCAGTTGCTTGGTAACCCTACCCCCTGAAGGGTGCTTTCCAGCTCTGTCTACTGGACAGCCCTACCCCAAGCCCTCAGGGGGGGCTCTAGCCCAGAGGGAAAGTGCTTAGAGCCAGATCTGTATCTTGCTTTGCCTTCCTTTGGGTCCAGCCCATCAGCTTCTGCTCATTGTTTGCAGAAGCTTTATGTCCAGGCAGAACGCCCATTTCCTATAAATGCACACACCTGTACCTTATTCTCCACTAGCTGCTGAGTTGGCCACCTGCTCAGAATAAGCTGGGCCTCTACAGGGCTCCTGCTCCTTTGGGTGTCTCTGCCGAAATGACGTTAGGCCCAGCTTCTCCTCCCAAGACCCTGCATCTTCAGAGGTTTAGTCATAATTGTCTCGTGATGTGGGCTACGAGATGTCATCCAAGCCTGTCGAGGTCAGAGGGTAGGGTGAGGGGCCTCTGAACTGAGGCAAATGGATTGAAAATCTTTGCTGAGGGGCAATGAATGTGCCTCTCTGAAGACCTGAGGATGGGGGCTGGGAGGTGGCTCATATGCAGGTCCCAACACTGGGTTTGAGGCTTCTCTGCTTGGTTCAGGACTTCAGAGGAAGCCTGGCCACACCTGACACTCCAGTTTCTCAGTGCTGGAGACCATGGGAAGCCCCTCTAGCACCAAGTAAACCAGGACTGCAGACGTTCTCCAGACAGAGCAGGAGAGCAGCATCGAGCAAGGACGCCCCAGTTATTTTTACACAGACATTGTTCCAACCACAACCACTACTCTCGAAGGTGGGTAGTATTTGTCAGATGGAAAGATCTTTGAGGTGAGAAGGTGGCAGGCGGAAGAACATTAGCATTTCCTATACTTTTCTGAAGGTTGTGTTACTGAGTCACCAATCGTCCATTTTTCTGCCCCTTAGAGAACCAGAACAAGGGGAAATTTGGCTACCAACATGCCTGGGAGGCAGTCATGGCCACTGGTGAGTCTCAAGAGATTTGAGAGCTGTGGGTGGACTTAACCTGAGTTTCGTTTTCCATATGAAGAAACAGATTAATGTGCAGGTTTATAACAGGGCTTAAGGGAAGGAGAGCTGTGATGTCAAATCCCAGATGTTCCATGTATTAGTTGTGTGAAACAGTGGTTGAGGTGGTCAGCGTGTCTGTGCCTCACCTTCCCCACATGTGAAATGAGAATAGTCCTACTTTGTAAGGGTCGTCATGTGAGTATCAAATGTCAATAGACACTTCTAATATTGGGTCATAGGAAAAGTCATGATGCATTTTTGCATAGAAAAATATGCCATGACTTTTCCAATGACCCATATTTTGGGGGTGAATAATATAATCTGTGTTATGAGTATGGCAGTTTATAGCAATAGCTGCAACTTACTGAAAGCCTCCTTGTAGAGACAAAGCCCCTTTTCATCCCCAGGACCTGTTGACAAACAACTAAAGTAGATGCAGAGATGAAAGAGAGTTGAGAGACAAAGGGAGAGTAGTGGAGAGCCATTTAAGATGTTGGAGCAAGAGCATCACTGAAATACTCAAATTTAAGCACAATACAACTGACATTTTTGGAGGGTGGAGCCCTGCTGAGTACTTGGAGGTGTTTGGTGTCAGGGTTCATCCTGAAGGATATTTTCAACTTTTGAACACCAATGGATTTTTGTCTGCCCACCATACTCCCCCATCCTAAACAGCAAGTGGGCCTCTGTGAACCACCCATCTTCTTTTATTTATTTATTTATTCATTTATTTTGATTGGACCAGAGAAGGGCAGAGAAAGAGAGAGAGAGAGACAGAGAGACAGAGAGAGACAGAGAGAGAGAGACAGAGGGAGAGAGAGAGACAGAGCGAGGGAAAGCAAGAAAGCAAGAAAGCAAGAAAGCAAGTCCAGGTCTGGGACTCGAACTGCAGTTGGCCATGTGGGAGTCTAGCACCCTTAACCACTATGCCCCCTGCAGGCCCCCTTCTACTCACATTCCACTCAGTTCAGATGCAGTTGATCTCATCCTCTGGTTCTAGCAGGAATATATATCTTAGTCCGTCATTGCGTTGCTAACAGAAATGCCTGAGATAGTGCAATTTATCAGAATAGAGGTTTATTCAGCTCACGGTTTGTCCAGGGGTCCTCTCACATGGAGGGCTCCTAGCTGCTTCTCAACATGGCAGGAGCAGGAGTATGTGTCTGTGTCCATGATGTTTCCTAGTCTTACTCCCTCTCCTAAATCCACCTGGAGAAAATCATTGAGTCTCCACCTAATCACTTAATCACTCCTAAAGATCCCCACCCTCGGACACCATGAATGTTTTTATTTTTAAATTTTATTTTTAGATTTTTGCCAGTGGGAATGTGTGCTTCTGGAGAGAAACAGAGAAGCAAAGAGATGGGGAAAGTGAGAAAGCAGCTCCTATGGGGCTGCAATCCCTTCTCCATTTCTCTCTACTTTTAGGATTTTGAGCACTCACATGCAACTAGCATGTTTTTCAAGCTTCTTAGCTCAGGACTCAGTCATGTGGCTGGTCATGTGGGATCCAGCTCCCTTAATCACCATGCCATGGGTTGGCCTGACACTATGGAGGTATTACATTTCTCTTAATGACTTCACAACCAAATAGCAATACATGAATTTTGGAGGTACACAAACCATAGCAGTGCATGGTCCAGGCCTGGCTAACCACAGTCCTAGTGATTAAGGAATAGCCCTTTGTGTGGAGTGAGTGAGTGAGAATCAGCCCTGAGACTTTTGCTGAAAGAGGCACTCATTTCCTGCTGGAGTTGCAGAGCTGAAAGGATGTAAGCCAAAGCCAATAGTGGCCATCTTTGCTACTTCCTGGGCACCAGAGAGAGAAGGCACCAAGAGGTGGAGAGACAGATTTCCTGCTGCCCTTGCTGAGCAAGGAACTAGTTGTTCCTGAAGATGTAGAATTTTTATTTATGTAAACTAATATATAACTTTTTTAAAAGAGATTTTTGCTATATGGTAAAAAATGATTTCTCACTTTCTCTCTCTCTCTCTGTATGTGTCTCCAGATTCTCACTAGAGATACAAAGAGAGTCAGAGAGATGGCTATGCCACTATCCCTTCTCCTCTATTCTCCTTTCAGGATTTTGGGCATGCACACACACACACCTGGCATGAGTTTCAAGTCACCAAGTCCAGTACTTGAACCATGGTAGGCCATTTGGAAGTCCAGTGCCTTAACTACTACACCACCTGATGTCCCCAATATTACCCTTTTAAAAGACAACTTGAATTGTTAATGGCAACCAAAGGGGTATAACTAATTTATCTTTCTATTTGCTTTTTATTTTGATTTAGAAATTGTGATTTTAGAATTGCAGCATAAAAATGGAACCCTGGCAATATTTGACAACATACTTTTGACAGGTCTATGTACTTTGGACAAGGACATGCTGGGAAGTTGTGGGAACTCCCCTTGCCTCTCCCTCTCTTTTCTAGTATACTTTAACTCAGAGCCACATAAATGTATGTTAATGATCTTATGACGATAACAATCAGAATGGTGCTCTATTATAGCAGCCATGAACAGGAGGGAGACAAGAGGCAATATAATAATTCAGATTAGAAGTTATAAACATTTTCACAAGATGGTAGCCATGGAAATGGAAAGGAGAGACACTGCAGAGGTGGATGATCAAGGTTTGGTTATAGATTGGAGGTAAAGAACTCAAAATAAAATGGTTCCACCTGCAAGGCCCTAGAGCAAGGGCCCCCCAACCCCTGAACGATAGACCAGTATGGGTTCACTGAGCTGCGCAGTGAGGGGTAGGCTAGCGACCAAGGTGTCATCTGTGTTTGCAGCCGCTCCCCATTGTGGACACTACCACCTGGGCTCCGCCTGCTGGATTAGCAGCTGTATTGGATTCTCACGGAAGTGCAGACCATATTATGTGATTGTTTCATTGTATAATCCAACGTGGTAGTGGTGGAAATTGGCACACAGTAGATATGGTGCACTTGGGTCATCCCAGGACCAACCCCTCCCAGCTCCTAGTGCAGGGATTGTCTTCCACGAGGCAGGTCCCTGGTGCTAGGAAGGTTGGGGACTGCTGTCCTAGAGGAACTGACTTATCTCTTACCATGCTCTCCCTGGCCTGGGATGCCCAGCTCTTCTGGTCTTTGCACTTGTTGTGTCTCTGCTTCAGAGGCCTCTTGTTTCATTTCTTCACGTCTTCAGGCCTCTGCTCAAGCATTGCATCTGAAAGGCTTGCTTGAATTCCTCATCTAGTTTTGCATCCCCACCCTTGGCCACCATGTATTTTGCATCCCACTGCCCTCAGTGCTGCTTCTATGCACGTGGTTTTCTACATGGAACTTACTCCCTGATCAACTGTGTATTTCTTTGAGAGCTCCATGACTTTGTTCATGTCTAAGTCTCCAGCAAGTAGGGTAGAACCTGGCACAGAGTAGGTATTTGACTAATGTGAATAAATCTGGAACAACTGGAATAATGATGGGACATTGACAAAGTAGAAACACTGGGACATGAATGGGATCAAGGCTGGTGGAGTGAAGGGGTGAGTGAGATGATGAGTCAGTTTAGAACTCATGGAATTTAAGTGAGGTGTGCAAATGACAATAAAACCTGGTGGTTGAGTGCTGGTCAGGTGGTCAGAAGAAGCTAGATATGAGGATGTAGTGGGGAATTATGCATCAAACCTAGTGGGAGCTGTGGAGTTAGTGAAATCCCTTTGAAGACCAGAGAAAGAGAGATATGGAAACAGAGCCCTAGAAGAAGATCAAAGTGACCCACTTGTCCTCATTTGCCCCAGGACTCTGCTTGCTTAAAAACTAAAATGCAATTATCCTGGGAACCCCTGTGGCCCCAAACTTGGGTGGTTTGTCAACCTAAGAAGGTAGCACAGGGAAAGCCTGGTTGGAAAAGGAAAGACAAAGCCTCCTGTAGCTTCCTCACAGAGACCAAGGAAGGGGAGGGCTCAGTAACCACAAGTCTCCCTCCCTTTCCTGCCTGAGACTAGTTTGATTCTGACCTTCTGAGATCAGAACAGCTGAATTACCTGAGTCCTCCACCCCCATATCTCCCAGCAACACTTGATAGCTTCCTAGTTAGCTGAAAGTGGTGTGGTTCCTGGTCTGGAGCCCCAGCACAGACCAGCTGGAGAAAACATGAACCATGACAGTCTGGGTCTTGCATGGTGCTCTGGGTAGGAGAGCTCACGTGGTGATCATTTTTGCTGATCCCAGGGTGGAGCTTGAGAGTGTAAGTTGCTCTGTAGCCAGCATGGCCAAGGGAACAGGAAGTTGTCTCTCCTCTTGTAAACAATGCCGACCAAGGTTAGCAGTGCTTTCAAGGTGCCAGTGCTGAGAGGTGCTCAGGACTGAATTTCAAGAAGGAAATTGTGTCTGGATGCATAGAAATACAAAAGAACCCAAAGGGGCCTTTTTAAACCTCTCTTTAATTTGGCAGCAGGTATTTAGAGTGTTGATTATTGTAAAGGATAAATAAGATGGGGGACCAGCAGATGGTGTAATTGTTATGTCACTGGACTCCCATGTAGTCGACCACAGTTCTGGACCCAGTGCCTTAAAACTCACACCAGGTGTCGGGACAAGTAGTTAGCATGGCTATGTTGCTGCACTCCCATGTAGTCAACCACGGTTCAAGTCCCGGACCTGGTGGCTTAAACTCACACCAGGCGTCATGTGTGCCCAAAATCTGGAGAGGAGAATGGAGGAGAAGGAATTGCAGTGTGGCCATCCCCCCAGGGGGGAGAGGGTGATTTCTCACTTTATATCTCTGTGTCTCTCTCTATCTTTCTGGTGAGTGCACTCACCCTATAGCAAAAACTTCTCAAAAGAAAAGAAAAGAAAACAAAACAACAAATTCATATCAGGTATGTATGCATATGTGCCCATAATCTCGAGAGGACAATGGAGGAGAAGAGATTGCAGCATGGCCACCATCCCCCTCCCCCCCAGAGATGTTTTATGTT